GGGGGGGGGGGGGGGGGGGGCAGTACCTGTCAGCACTGGAAATACTACACTGAAGTGTTCCTTTGAAGTACTTCTGAAATTATATGGTTTTAAGGTCCTCTTTAGAATGTACAAACTACTACTGCTACTACAGTACCACTAACACTACTACTACGTTATTATAATAATAATAACAATTTGCTATAATAATATGCTATTATTATTATCAACAATAATGATATAATAATAATAATAAAAATAATTACCATTTAAGCAAATTATTATTATTGATAATAATAATAATAATAATAATAATAATAATAATTATTATTATTATTATCAAAATATTATTATTATTATTATTATTCCATCTATCCATTTTCATCCTCTTATCTGTTACCAGGTCGTGGGGGCAGCAGTCTCCATGACCACCACCCAAATCACATTGCACCGTACCAACTCCCCTGAGGGTGGTGAGTCCACTGGAAGGTTGTTATTATTATTATTATTAATTATTATTATTGTTAAAATGATGAAAACTTCTATTCTGCTGACAATGAGCCCAAGAGCCCATCAAGTCACAGCTCAGCATAGCTGTAGCCATGATCTCTAACCTAAACTACATGTGAAGAAGAGCTAAAAACATGAAAAGGAATTTGTTCCAAAAAGGCTTTGTAAAAACAAACAAACAAAAAAAAACATGACATACATAATATTTCCCTGATTTAGTCTTGAAAATGTTTGTAAAAAACCTTTGGTTCAGGACCACAGAGGGGAGTGGGAGTTTAATGAAGTCAACGTCCCATCAGTGTCAAACAGACCTGCTGTTAATGGTACACAGGCGTGTGTGTGTGTGTGTGTGTGTGTGTGTTTCTGAAGGGCCTCTACTCTGTGTGTATTGAGCAGGACAGCTGTAGTGCCCCCCCCGCCCCCCCCCCCCTCCTTCACTATCACTCTATTCCTGCACCTCCTCTCCTATTAATACTCCACTGGTATCTGCCTCAGAATGGAGCCTCATCCGCCCGCAGGTCTCTCACTGTGGGAAAAAAGCTGCATCTACTGCACCAACCAGTGCATCACAGCATCAACACATCAACCAACATTTTCTCCTCTCCCACCTCTTCCTCCTCCTCCTCCTCCTCCTCCTCTGACCCACGTCCCGGTGCACTGACTGACCTGTTGCTGCTGGAAAGACTTGAGTCGCTTCTTGAAGCGTGAGGGCAGCACAAAGTCACACCCCCTGGCCAGAAAGGCCAGCTCCCCCCTCAGGTCAGGGTCCGTTCGTAACGAGGTCTCCTTGATCATCATTTTAGGGGGTCCTTATTATAAATCCACCACCACCACTACCAAACAAGGCCACCGGGGGCCGGCGAGATCACAGAAAGACCGGTTTGTCCCGGCAACCGAACAACCGAGAGTTCTCCAAACAGCTCTGAGATCCACCAACTGTAAAACCCACCTCCAAAAGACAACAGATGGTCCACACCCAAAAAGTTACAGATCAGTTTCTCCAGGTTCCACCAGAACAGCACAGCCTTCCAAACGTAGTGCTTGTACAGTAGTAATCCAGCTGCGTCAGGACGCTCCTCAGGACCTCCACGCTACAGTGAAGGCCCGAGGCCAGGAACATGTTACTGTGCTGCCTGGTGGCAAACCGCAGCTCTGTCTGTCTGAGGCGGAAAAGTCTCTGTCAGCTCTGGATGTATGTGTTTGCTGCAGGCGGTCTGGTGCCTGCTGCTGCTGCTGCTGCTGCTGCTGATGCTGATGCTGTTTGACAAGAATAACACCTGCTCCAGAGTTTAAAGCCTGAGCAGAGGAGATGCTGCTGCTGGCCCCACAAGGGTGGGACAC